TAAGGCTCATGCATCAAGACCACTCGGGCCAACAATTCCTCGACATTGGCATCAAAGCCTTCTTGAATCCCTAGGGCCTGGTGTCTTGCAATGAGCCACTGAACAAAATGTAGTCCTAAAGCAGGGCGAGGTGCAACATAAAGAATTCTGCCCTTGGAGTTCCAGTTCTCATAGACCTTGTCGAGCGCAAATTGCACGGCGACGAAGGTTTTGCCCGCGCCTGCAGGAGCTGATAAATGCAGCTCCTTGCTGTTTGCCTCATGCAGCTGCTGAAGCTTGGATTCTTGATGTTCGGTCAGTTTCGACAGGGACAAAAGACTCCTCGCAAAATCAGGGTTGGGTTGTGTTCCCCTCTTCTTATACATAACCGACACACCAGCTGAACGACAATCTTCTTTGCACAGCCCATTTACTTTAGGCTAGGACATACATGGAAATACCCTAATTAACGTAGATGAAGATGTGTATGGAACGTGCTTTTGACTTGAAAAATAAACAAAACAACCTCTTTAGCTTAACGGCTTAAATGACTGTCTTCCTTGTACAACCCTCACTTGTCACTTGTCCATCTCTTTCGCCCAACACCTGCCTCTCGTATCGTTCAAAAAACTCTGTCTTGTCCACCTGCACTTCCAATTCGCCCAGATATTCGCTTGTTGCAAGATATTCGTTCAGCGCCGTGTCGAAATCACCACTCAGCACCCGATCTCGAAGTAAATGGATCGCCTGGTTCGAGAAAGAGCGAGGAAACGAACACATGTAAATGCAGGGAGACGGAGAAGGAGAGCGGCAAACATGGAAGGGATGTCACCCTGTAGGCCATGGGTGTCTTCGGTTGTGTCTGAAATGTCTGCTATTTGAAGAGTGTGAAAACAACACGGAAACACACAAAATGGCAATCCGATGCGTTCCTCAATTACTTCGAGATGTATTCCTGCCTTGATGTGTGGCACATGGACCTTCACCCCTACGGCATTGTTGCCGTTCGGAAGCCGACATTGCACATCAGGCGTTCCCATCAAATGGATACCCTCAGGCAAGGCATTCTCCAGCATCTTTGTCAGGCCGTCGTCCTCCACTCGGTTTAAGCTGTCAATCAGTCTGTGAATTGGGTCCGTCGTGTGCCTCAAATGTGTGGATCTGAAGGTCTGCTGGTTCTCCTTGCACACCAGCATCCACTCCATTGGAGAGTCGCGGCAGCCTTCACTCCATTCGGGGACCGCTACCAACCTTCCTCTGCGCCACTTGCTGATCTCAGGGTCCCAGGCATCTACTTCCTGTTCCAGTGAAAACTCATTCTGTAGAAAGAGTGCCACATCCACTTCCTTAGTACCCAGGGAAGTCGGCGGTCACGGCTTCGTGCCCATTTTTCGATCGAAGGAGCAAAGCCGTTCACAGGTCATGTTCACAGCTGAAGCCGTTCTCCAAAAATTAGAAGGCAAATTCTTGCCATATTTGTGCGAGCGTTTCTTAGCGCAACTGACCTTGCTGACAGGCCTGGCTTGTGAAGCCCTAAAGTTGGTCAAACATTGTTAAACAGGGTTTTCCAAAATTTAACTCCACCACTCTTTCTCTAGGCTTCTTCATAATCCCATGCCGGATCCTTCTGCCTCATCCGATCCAGAAATGCCACCTCGGACTTTTGAGAGCCACCCAGGCCGATCCCATCCCACAAATCTGACGTGGCCAAGGCCTCCCACTCCACCTGAGGCAGTTGTTTTCATGGTTTTCATGTGCCCGCGACGTGCGACTCACGCCCGCGACTCGATGAAAAAGGTCAACGCACCAAGTCATTCAGCGGTGCTTTGTTTGGTTGACACGTGTTAACACTTCCTACAAAACCTGGGGAAAGGTTCCATAGTTTGCCTAGCGAGACCGACCAAGTGTTGAAGAACTTTGCTAAAGGTCATTGGAGATTTTGGTCACGCCTCGCCTTACCCTTTCCTTTCTGCCCTGCAAAGTAGACCACCTGCAGTTTCTGCTTCTTCTCGGTGGCGTAGGTACCATTGCCCATCCAAACTTTAAACCAGAAACAGCCCCAAGGTGCTCTTCTCTGATTCTCCTCGTACTTCTGCTCAGCTTCTTGTTCAGCCTTTTGGCGTTCCTCTGGGCTAGCATCTTCTCCAACAACGACTATACCCATTGCTGCTGCTTTCTCCTGCTCCTTCAGCATCTTTTCCTTCGTGTAAGGGCACCTTAGAACCTTGAGGTAGCCAAATTCCTTCCAGCCTCGCTCTCCATAGATGGCTTTGCAGTAGCAAGTGCCCTCTTCGGCATCAGGGTCTTGCGCATGTTTTCCAAGGCCATCTTCCGGGGTGCACAGAAAAACGCAGCCAACGCTGCCGTCATGATGCTCTTTGATGAGTGCGTCCCATCCGGATGGATACTTCCCAGGAAAGGAGATGACGCATCTTGCTGCGCCTTCTCGAATGTTTCCATGGTATGTGATGTCGCCAGTATCAGCTGTCACAGCTGGACGATCTTTCAAAGTAATATGCAAAGTGTCGAGCACTGGAAAAGTCTTTCTCTGATAGGAGGTTTGCCAATGCGAGGCTTGTTCCTGGGGCAGTCCAGAGTTCCCTCTAGCTGGCTATCCTTTAAAAAAGTTTGAAAGGGACCTTCACGTACATCCGCCAGTCAAGTGTGGCAGAAAAATGTAGAAACATATTTCCTGGTGTGTTCAAGAACAAAACAACTAGGCCAAATGTGTCGAACTTGGCGGGCAAAAGTGTATAAAATGCCATCTGCTTCTGTCTATTTCACACTCATGTCCTCATGCACCTTCTGGTCAGCAGAGGGAAGCTCCCTGCAAAAGCGGCTGACACTTCCAAAAGCATCTGAAAACCCGAGGCGTTTGAATTCGTGGGACACCTGTGGCAGTGAACAAATGTGAACAACGTGACCATCACCGTAGAATCATGGACCTCAATATCGCTCGAAAAAGCTCACCTGCAAAGCTCACCCAAACAAAACCTGACCGATGTGGATGTGTAGCTAGCTGGATATGAGTCGATCCTTTTCTTCCTGAAGAGGGTCCAGGATCGATCGGTCTCCCATGGTCGATCAGCCTCTATGTCTGGAGGTCACCTCAGAAATCAAGACAACATTTGAAAGAGAACTGCACTGCCACGCCCTTGGATAAAACCTGCATAAAACCGATGTCTGGCCCAAGAACACCTTCCCCCGCTCCAAAGCGCCCCACTCAACGGACGCTCGCCTCGCTTGTCTATCTTGTCTGGGCTCGTGTCTGCTGCTGCTTTGCGCTGCGGAAGTTCGAAGCTGGGAACCTCAGCTGTGGCGTTTACGAAAAAAAACACCCCTGGGGGGGGAACAAATATGAACACATGAGGAGGTCAAACGCAAAAAAAGGTGAACAAAAGGTGAACAAATGAGGAGGTCAAATGAAACTCTCTGCACAACGTTTGAGGCATTTGTTTTTCAATATCCTAGGCAAGTGCAAACTGGACTTGGACTTCTTTTTCCGTTTCCAAAAAAACAAATGAGGTGAAATGAGGTGAACATAGTAGGTGAACCATAGGTGAACATAGTCGCATGGCAAACCACTTGCGACCTTTTTTTCGACATCTGACTGTTCAGTCAGTAGGAAAGTGCATTTGGAAGAGGTGGAACAAACATGGAGCATCGAACAGGTGTTCCATTGCTTCCTCAGGACTACTTCAACCTGTTACTGAGATCCAGGGCCACAAATTCTGGGGCCTCGCACTGGAGACCTCCACCTGGTCGCCAGGAAGTTTCACAGGACCAAGCAGCATGTGAGGTAGAAATCGCCAGTGGATCCCTAGCGATCAAAGCCCTCGGTCACTAGAACCAAACCAAGACCTTTTGCTGAAATGGAATGAAAGAAGCAGGTACAATTGATGTTTATTGGGTTTAATTAAGGGTAACAATGGTAACGACTCTCTCATGTTTCAGGTGACAATGGGCTGCCGTGCTGGGCTCCAACACACGCTCAGCTACAAGGAACCCGAGCGCAACCGAAGCAAATGTTCCCTGCTTCTTTCGTGCAGCCGGTGAAAGCGTTGCTTCGTTCGACCCAGAAGAAAAATGCATTCCCTGCTGCTCCAGTAAGGACCGAAGCAAGCAGCCAATGTCTTCAGGTCAAGCGATGGGGGTTTAAGTCTAGTAGCGCAAACCCACATGCGAAACGAAGCTTTAGGAAGTTACACTAGCAAGGCCGACAATAGCCCTCTATCGGGACGCAGCACATCTGACAACTCAGACATCACCGGCCTGTGTGCCAAGCGCGGAGGACGCTTCATGTTTGCTGCTCAGCGGATGCACAGTCGCCTCAGGACGCTTTGACTGTAGGGGAAAAGCAAGAGGCATGGGGAAGAGCTGCAGGCCCCTACAAGTATGATTGCAGGTACCCAATATGTCAATGTATGCACTGGTGCATGCACTGATTCCCTTTCACACAGTATTCCACAATGTCCGGTCCCACAGTATCCCACAATGTTGCAAAATAATCAACAGTTCTGACGCTGAGGAGGAATCACACTTGCGTGGTGCCCTACGCAGGAAAGAGAGTGTGACTGAACCAATATGCTGTGCTGTGGGCCTGCGGCCTACTGCTTCAAATTTAAATCCATGCAAGGTAATGGAGGTCAACCCCTCGAAAAAAAAAAAAAAACACTAAAACTAAAAACAGAACAGGCAAGGTAAACGAGTATAGGCCTGGGTTTAGGTGATACACTTTGCAACGCACAACACCTGGACGCCAAACGAAACCCCCGAAACACCGCGCCAGCGGCGGGGCCTTTGAACTGGAGCATCCCATTGAGACAGCGAGTTTGAGCCTCAAATGGCTCCTGCAGATTCCATCGATTGTCCATGGAGCCTGATGTTCCTGCATGTTTCATATGTACCAGTAGGTAACAATCATCTCTTTATTTCGCTCCAAAGACGCTGTCTAGGACAACCTTTCGCGCCGAATTGAACCATCAACAGCTACAAACCGACCTTTCGCGCCATCTTCCAGCCTGCTACTCCACGACGGAGAGCCGACGTGAGGCGCTGAAACCTTTCACATGGGCAGTGTGACCCAAGACATTTCAGGTTCATTTCAGAGATGGTTTTGTTCATTCATGTGCCATGAGTCTAACAACACTAGCTAGATTTCAAACAGAATGGTTATGATTCAGTTCTGATATCGATACTGTGAATGAACAGCTCTCCTTAATGGGCGCAACCAGCGTTTTGTGAGGACGGAGGGTGAAGCTGCCCGCAGCGCGTTTTGGCAATGCAGCTGGAGCCTCAACGAAATGCGATGTGTCAGCAAAGCAAAAACGGAAAAGATGGAGAAAGGTGTGACAGGATCATCAAAAAAACTACAACAAACAAAACACCTTGCAAGAAAAAATAACAAACCACCCCATGCATGTACTACTACCAGATGTATATCTGATCACTGAAATCAGCTAGGACCGAATCAACGTCGTTCTCAACGATCCCCGCTCCTTGCGCAATCTCGCAGCCAGAGCTCTTCGCATCGCAGCCAGAGCTCTTAGGCCGTATCCTGCCAAAAACAGCAATGGGGAGTCGTACATTGCAATGCATCTTTTGGGGCTCACAAAACGGTGGGTTCCAAAAGACAAAGACCATCGTTCCAAAAAGGACAGCTCGATTCATCGAGCCGTCCAGGAGGCGTTGTTCCCATCAGTCTGCCGTCAGAGACGATGAATTCAGTTCGCGTGAAACCCCCACGGTCTGCGCAACCACCAAGCGACGTCTGCCTTTGGGCCCAAGAGGTAGTGGACCAAATGCGAATATTCGATTCCTTGACCTCCGGAAGCAGGAGGTTCTCCCGGAAGGTTGCTCAAGTGTAAATCATGCAACAAGAGAACAAACATACTCTAGTCTATAAATAGTTAAAACATATTAAACACAAAAAGAAGTTGAATGCAAACAACACATGCACCTGATAATATAGTATAACTTCAATGTCATTCAGATATCAGTAACTTCGGTGAAGGGATTTTGGGATGAAGGTCTTCTGCTTTTCTTTCCTCAGGTTCGTGCTACTTTGTGGGAGACCAAGCAGCATCTCCTGATGGCAGGACTGGAGTGTGAGTTCACAGCCACTGCAGCTTGAGAGCTGTTTGGAAAGCAAAAGGAACATATAGAATAAATATACATATTGTCACGTCACATATTTATCAACAATTTGGCTTTGTTACTGGGCTCCAAGTCTGCAAAAACGCTAACTCAGGAGATCCAACAGAGTCTCAAAGCAAACAATCAAAGAGTGGACAGCGCGGGCAACCCGGCCTGCTATTTCGCGACCAGCCGGCCGGCCGGCTGCCCAAATAGCGGCCGGCCGGCCGGCTGGCCATAGCGGCCGGCCGGCCAAGTAGTTGTAGTAGTAGTAGTAGTAGTAATAGTAGTAGTAGTAGTACTAGTACTAGTACTAGTATAGTAGTAGCAGTAGCAGTAGTAGTAGTAGTAGTGGTAGTAGTAGCGATTTCTTCCGCGGCCGGCCGGCTGGCTGGCACCTTGATCGGCCGGCCGGCCGGCTGGCTGGACCGTGGATCTTGGCCGGCCGGCCGGCCGGCCAGCTGGACCGTGGTTCTTGGCCGGCCGGCCGGCCGGCCGGCTGGCTGGCTGATCGAGAAATAGCGGGCCGCGATAAGCTCGCAATGAAAGAGTGGAAGAAAATGGGCATGAATCATGAGATTGGAGAAGGTCTCCTCGAGCTTTTCCTCTGGAAAGCAGTTGCCTTGGAGAAGTGACTACTTCTCTGTTTCATGCTGTTCCATGCCGTTCTAAGTGCGGAAAATTCCTCAAGAAATCATGTCTTCAGCGCTTTGGGGATGTCTTTCATGGCCAACGTTGACTTTCAAACCGAAGTCTGACTGTTGAGTTGTTGATAAAGCTGAAGACCAAGTGAACTTGAGACCATGCCAGGTCGACTCCGGTCAAGTCCGATTCTACCCTTTGCGTCTTAAGCAACAGGATCGTCTGGAAAATGATGATCCCCTACAAGCAGAAACAGACCCACTGCTCCACGTTCAGCAACCAGTCTGGCTCAAGCTCACGTCCGTTCGTCAACCAGACTTGACGTCCAAAACACCATTGGAGCGCAGGATCGTGGCAATGGTCTGTCGACTGAGAACACCTCAGGTCGAACAAGGATTGCATAGGAAAGCTGTGAGCCAATGCTTTGTCCTCTTGAGGGCCACATGAGGTCAAACTCTCGAAAACCTGCGGAGAATGAACTTGTTGGGTCTCGAATGCTGCCAAGGCACCAGTCCTCTGTGGGTCAAAGACTTTAAAGCAGCTTAGTAGCTGTTGAGCCTCCACGCAAGCCATCAATATGCACAGAGTGCTTATCCAACACACAACCATTGATCATCGAGTTCAGCCAGCAATTTCATCTTCCCACTCGACCTGACATACCCCTCAACTTGTTTTGTTCTTTTGAATCCATCAAAAAAAAAGAACAACTCCGCCACATGTGTAAGCTAAATATAAACAAACATGCTGCCTTCTGATATTTCTCAGTCGTGGTTATAGGTTGAGACAAGGACATTTGGAGACAGCATCTGCATGATGCGTGATGATCATCTCCACCGTGACCTCATACATGTAACGTGGTTTTCACAAACTAAAGATGTTTTCAATTGTTTTCATCACGTCTTTCCGTGACCGTTGCTGGCCGAAGTTGACCATTTTCGTCACATCTTCTCCAGTTCAGCGTGAAATTCCAAAGGCCCTGGGGGCATAACCCAACATCAAGCCATACCCACAGTGAATGGGAAGCAGATAGCACAATCCCCTAATTCTGGTGGTTTATATAGCCATCACTTCTAGACCCCCATCTAAACAAATCTAAGACATTTAAGTGTTTGCATGTTTGTGCAATCTACTCATTCCACACCTACAAAAAACATCATCAAACCCGGCTTCCCGTTGCTCCATGAGTCCCTCCCTGCCGGCCGTGGCCTGATCCCTCACAGACCACTCGGCCAAAGCCCCCTGCGGACGCTGTGACGGCTCCAAGGCCGAAGGTCGTGGCATTGCCAACTGAACGTCCCCATGTCGGATTCCAAGGCCAAGCAAGAGCCCAGCGTTGGCTGTTTAGGCTATGTTTTTGGGTTCATTCTTGGAATTGCCGCCAAACAGCAAGTGTCTTCTCTGCAAACATGTAATTAATGTGATTCATGACTGATGGTGAACGACATCTGAAGAATCTATTCACCAACCCTCAAACCCTAAAGCTCTCCGACTCCCATCTCTGCCATACCTCCTGGCACCCAACCACACCTGTAAACTCACTGAAGCATTTGCCATCCATTTTTTTGAGGATCCATGCTAGCTTTCACATTACCACGCCTTCTTGTTTGTAGCTGGATAGCCAGAAAAAAAGAGAAAACCAAACACACAGCCTTGGCCCGTCGTCACTTGCCTCACCGAAAAAAGAATAAAACGAACCAAAGGATCGGGATCAGCCGGCATCATCCGGGATCATCGCTTCACGGCGACGCCCTGACCCTCCGGGCTCGTGGCCGCCCCTCCTCCATGGACTTTTGGAAGGTCTCGAAGGTGAAGCTCTCCGGTCGCCCGGCGCGTTCCAGCACCTCCGAAGCCTCCAGAACGAGCGAAGGGAGGGGGTCAAGGGATGGGAAGGGCGGGTGGGTCACTGCGCACGCAAACCTCTCCCACTCTCCATCGAAAACTCCCAAAAAAATGAACATGTATGAACATGTTTATAAGTGTGAGATAGTTTAGAAAGGATTGGTTAGAGTAATCTCCACAATTTTTTGGGGAAATCCATTTTTGTGCACTTCATTCTTCACTTCGATGAATTGCACCACATCCATCTCAACCACGAACTCGCCGCCCGTTCGCCTCTGCAGTCGTCGGATTCATCCCAGCCATTTGCATGGCCGTCGCCAGGTCGTTCGGCTTCAGCACTCCCGACGACACGTCCTGACCGCGACGGCGGTGGCCACGGCGCAGGCGACTGTTACGCGTAGCTTTCGGGCGCCAGCAGAAGGAGCGAAGAAGGGGAATATTCGGGGGCCGGCGGAGCACAAGGGCGGGGGTTGGAAGACAGATCATGTTGGAACACAGGAACGACGGAGCATCTTTTTCTAAGTGGCCTAAGTGAAGTGGATGTCCAGAACCGAACTAAGCAGGGACTGGTTGGGTGGTTCTTAGCTTGGTTTGGTGGAAGTGGTGGAAGTGGTGAATCCGTTGCGAGTTTTGGCGCCATCAAGGTGGTCATTTGGGCGGCTGGAATGGAGAAATGTTGAATTATTGAAGTGGAAGCTGCACATGAGAAGCGAACCCTGCAAGAGATTTTTGAAGACTGTGGAGGTCCACTCTGATTTGGGAAAATCCCATCATTTTCTGCGCACCATCGGCCTTCAAATGCACAAAAATCTCGTGAAGAGCCACCTGGGCGCACAGGCAGCGAGGTTGAGCTGATGGCGATCGGGTGAGTGGTTCAGTGGTTGGGTGGCTGCGGCCTTAAAACACAGCTGGAGCTGAAGCGAGAGATTCTTTATCTACCAATTGAACGAATGGCTACGTATACCATGTGATTCATCTCAGGTCACGATGTTCTGGCTCTTGGCTCAGGTCATAAGGTCATGATATCCAGACCTAAGGTGTCACGTATGGGCAGTCAATGACTGGGTCGTAGCACTGGGTCATGGCTGAACTGATTTCTCTATGTTCGGGGTGCCAACCTACCATGCTTTGGTAGGGGAGGTGCCATGACGAAACTAGCCAAAGAAATAGTCAAAGGATTCGGTGACTGATGATGACTGATGTAAGAAGCTGAGTTGCCTGGGGGCCAGCTGCCTCTTTGTCAGCGGCCTCGACTGGCTGGAGGAATAATATCATGTTGAATCTACATGTTGAAAACACGCTTCCTGATCGAGAAACAGTATCCACTAAATCATGAAATGCATCTAAATCCCATGTCATGAACCGGTGAATCTATAAACACAATTGTAATTAATATCAAACATTGCAACACATTGAGGCATGGAATCTTCCACCAGGAGCAAGCTTCTCAACTGTGCAAGCCCCACCCTTTGAGCAACTAGCGTTGGGCAGTCGTTATGAACTCTTGTGGTGGTCCCGTTCGATCTGCTGATGCTCAGGCCCTGTTGCAGTGGCAGGTAAGTCTAGTCTATACTAGCGGCTCATTAGCAAAGCTCAAGAATGATGCGACCCGTGAATACCAATCCCAGCCTCCACCTGCATCTTTGGCAGGAGGTCCAGGAAGTCTTTCACCCCTCAGTGGTCCAAACACAGCAAGGAAAGCAAGTGGGTCACCCATGACACCAGCCCACTGGAGCAACAGATTCTTGCCCAGGGGCTGATGTGCGTTGCTTCTCGATAGTCCTGCGTTTCCAGGTGAGGATGGTGAAGGACTCAATCACGTCTCCAAATCATCAAACGGACATCTGACTATGTCTGCGTGGCCGGTCACAAATAACCGTAATTAATATGAAAAGATCGTCATAGTATACAGGATGTGTGATTTCATGCTGTAATAGCGAAAGCTGAACCCTGGAGGTGTTTCGAAGGTTCCGAAGGTGTTCCGAAGGTGTTCGACTGGGTCTTCACCCTCAAAGGTTTCAGGGAGGGTCTCCGTTTTGAAGTCTGTTCGACAATGGCTGAAACAGCTGAGGTCAGTCCATCATCTTGTCTTGATTGAAAAATCTCTGGCCATGTGCTTGACTCGCTTGACCCCTGCAAAATCCCGCAAAATGCGTTGTTCGCAACGTCTCAGACTTCTCCTTGAGAGGAAGAACACAAGACAGGAAAAAACAGCTTGCACATGCTTGGGGCCTTTTCGTAGGAGGCGTGTTCCGTTCGAGGTTCCCAACCTGATCTGTATAGCTTATTCAGGCGACCCACCAAACGTAATCCACCAGTCTATCAAATCCATCCAGATTCGAAAGCCACAACACTGGTCATGCTATGTCATGCTTGTGACCTCCATAGACCGAATGTGTCGAACAAACATCACTGATCTGTGAGCGTAAGTGGTTTCATTTATTTCTTGGGAAGACTCATGGGGACTCATCTGCAGCGGGACTCACAGTCTGACAGTGGTTTCAGAGGTTCGATGGCACAGACCCCATGATCTCCTGTCGACAGATGGGGGGCCATGTTATAACCACAAACATTGGGAGTCTGTGCCATCTACTGTCAATCCAGCCCTGATGAGCACATCCTCTCTTCTCGATGAGTGTCTTCGACTCCTCTGCCGTGCAGCCAGTGGACTGGAGCAACTCAAGGCACCCTGAGGCGTGCGTCGCATGGGCTTTCTTGATCTCCAAAGCCGGGTTTGCAGTGCATTTGGCCGGCTTCATAAAAATACCCAACAAACACACAAAGACAGTGAATACAACCCATCAACCGAAGACCTTTGTTATGTATTCAACAACCATCAACTAAACGTTTCCACAACGTTCTGTACACCTCTTTTTTCCTCGACGAACAAACACGCTGACCGTTGACACCGCCCACACACTCGGATGTGCTGCCCAAGACGCTGCTCTGCTCCAGGAAAGCAAAGGGTCCCTGCTGGCACCGGAGAAGCTCCTCCATCTCCTGCCGCAAAGCCTCGGCAAGCCGTGCTGCGCGGGGGGATGAAAGAAGGAATCCGTGGGTCTCCAAGGAATGTGTGGATCACAAAGAAATCATCAGTCTTCACATGTTTCATGGTGTATGGTCAAGGAGTTCCTGCATGTCGGTTTTCACGTGTTTTCTTTACAGCTGTCGTTTCACGTGTGGATTCTATAGAACTTGGGTTTTCATGCAACGGAGTCAACAAACGGATATCCTTTTACAGACCTGAATGTTGACTGAGTGAGGTTGCTGTTGTGGCTCTTGGGCAAACAGTGCACAGGAAGCCGCTTCTGCTTACACGATTCAATGCTTGACCAGGTGAAGGGCTGATTCCTCTCGATCCATACGGTGACGAGTCGTTTCACTTCGTTTTGACTCGGTGACGAGAGCAACGAGAACGACCATTTCCATGCCCCGTATTCCTAAACAAAGCGCCAGAAAGGTGACCGTCCGTCGTCTGTTACCTCACCGTCCCGAGCTTTTCACTTGCACTGAGGATCCAAGATGGTAGCCAGAATCCGCATCAATTGTGTGATTGATACAAATCCACCTCGTTACAAGACAACTCATAATAAAATAGAAGATTCTTTTGACACGTTGGTTTTACTCGTTGATTCCGAGATCCTTGGCTGCATCAGATGTCAGTGACAAACCATGAAGGTATCTTTAATACCAATGCTGGGAATCATCTATATGCAGGGCCCACCCAGCGGCTATTCGGCTGTCCCTTGACCAAGCCACAACCATGCCTGGCCGCACAAGACCACTGCTCACGCCTAAGGGGATTTGCTAGAGTGCAAAACCCCTGGGCAGTGCCTACAATAGTGGACATTATTGTATATTGCTAACCCTTCAAACAATGTTATTTCGCGTATGACATGGGGAAGGCCTCACATGCACATGCGGCCGTGTATAAAAAACCGCAATCGCCCTGAAGTTGCCAAAGAAAACCCTGTGATACTTCTTGCAGCCTTTTCAATTTTCCAATATCACTTGAACACTCAGCTTCCTCTGGCTCCCTCCCGGCTCTTGTGCAAGCTGGTCAAATCAAACCAATTCGGGTCGTTCAATCGACGGCCAGTGCTGGGCTCTCGGCCGGGAGAGCCCGAGCACAAGGATGCCTGGCGGTGGAACGAACGCTCAGTGACGCACAGGGACGGATGCGGCCCCCTCAAAAAGAAAGTGAAATAAACATTAATTCTGTTTTTGATACCCTCCCTCCAAGAAACTGCTGGTAATGTAAACAGAATACTACGTCTTTTGGCCCAAATATGGTTATTGATTCTATTCAACAAACATGGAAGTGGACGGACCCCCTGTTTGTAGAGGAAAATTGTCTGTCCAGGGGCCATGCCATTCACTTCCATGATTTGGAAGGAGGGTAGAAGTTCAAGAACCATTGCAAAACCACTCAGACTTATCCACTTGTGTTGATTGATGGGTTCTTTGCCACATAGGTCCTATTTGTACTGAGGATAATAATGTTGGTTCAAGTATTTGATGTAGCGGAGGCAACTACTGTGGACATCAACATCTTGTTCATGTCTCGTCGAGGGGGACGTCGGTAGCATGCCACCACCCCACCAGATCCGACATATACACAGGCACACATGCACCTCTTGATCTACCTTCAACCGAAAGTCTTTCAGAGTCATGCACAACAAAATATGTGATCATAGTTGCTGGGAGAATCTTCAAGCCTCACTACAAACCTCTCGAAAGAATCGCTTGGCTACAAACCTCTCGACCGGTGAGTTGGTCCAAAAACCCTACACCCGCCCAGTGGATCCCACTGGAGCCTCTGTGGTTTGGTATTTTTTCACCAGCTCACCGATGGACTCCTTTAGCTGGTTGTTCCTCAGCTCTTGGACCAGCAAGTTTGACGAAAGAAACCAGGCAGTTGAAAGGGGCACTATAAATCATGCATAAAAATTGTTCAGTGATAATTAAGAACTATTAGTATGTTAGGCATAGTATTTAGGCGCTTGCAAGTTTGGCTTCCTTAACCTTCAGAAAGATTCTTCCATGGTCTAAACTTCTAAACATACACACATATGAACAACGTGTGACATTACGTGTCAACTCTTGTAAAGACATCTTGTTTGCTCGTTCTTACATACTGTGTTGCTACACCACACTACCTACAACAAGCAGCTCGATTTGATTGCACGCTGAAGGTCAATGTGAACGCTGCAGCTCGACTCAAATTCTTTGTGGTAACCTTCTCCACCAATGATCGAAGATCTGGCGCTTGGCGGAAGCACAGGAAGCTCCCCACCAGTCTAGCAAAAAGAACTTTCAAAGCTACTGCATGCTACTGCTGGGGATTGAACGGATTGAATGACTTCCAAAAATATGGTATCTACAGTATCTGGAGAGAACTTGAGAGAACCTATGAATCCATGAGACCCTCACAACCAATGGATACCAATGGTATCTACGGCAAAACATGCACCGAACCATGACCAAAGGTCCACCTCACAGAAGGTCCAGGTCAGTCTTGACTGTGGTTCTGTACTACGTCGCCACCAACATAACTACAAGTATATATGATATATAAGCGATTAAAAGACGATATCGATAAGTCACCGACAAAATGAGTATAGTGACCGGCGACCTTCTGAAGCAGCCCTGAAAAATCACCAGCCCAAATCGGTATCGGTCCAAACCCCTCGCAGCTTCTGTGCGCACGCATCGCGCGGCGTGCATCCCGTCGCGCGTGGCTCGTGAAGAGACGACCTCGCAGCATTTGATGCGCTCGCTTCTTGGGATACGAGGCGGAGGAGGTGACCTCAAGATCGACATCTGGGGAGGCTGATGGGCAAGCGGCTGATGGGCGCTGAACTCCCAGGAATTAGACGTGCTTTCATGTGAGGACCAATGAGGATTCCAGCTGATGTGTCATCGCAAATGAAACTCAAAGTAAACCTCCCCTTGATTGCTCAGAAGCTCCAAACCTAGTGAAGGAGGGACCACTTCTACTGGCAAGCGGCAAGGCCAGCCTCACAAACGCCTCATCCACCGTGAATTGAAGACGTGTCTTATGGTCTCGTAGAGCCCCTTGTACATGCTGAGGAGTGCGCCACACAGTAGAGAAAACGCGCCTGCTCATCCATCAAAAGGCAAACCTAGGCGTTTTGGGGCTTTATTCAGCTCTGTCTGTGATGATATTGTACAGCGCAATGAAGCTTCAGGGTGATTTGTGTCTCAGCAGCAAGTTACCATACAGATCGCGGAGCCACTCTGAACCGGGCCCTCCACTATGTTTGGGATCGTTTGGCCCTTCCACTCAAGTCTTCAGTGAAACACATATATGTATTAGTATTTCTTGAAGAACAAGTTTCCACCTCTCCAACCAAAATTCCAAGCGCTCACCTCATCCTAGTCTCCTCTCCTAGACCGGCATACCGGCCAGCACTGAGACGCCAAGCCGTTCCACTCTTCCACTGCAGCCGAGTTCGTTGTCCCGCCGCCAACTTCTGCGCGGAGACCTGCGCGGAACGCCGCGGAGACCAGGGCGAAAACCATGCAGACCGGCCGCCGTGGCGCAAAGGCTGCGTGTTGCTCTCGGGAAGATGGCGGGGGAATGTTGAGGTCAAAGGCAGCTTGAAAAGGTTTTTGAAGGGTTTATTCCCCAAGAATTAATGCTTTTTCAGATACTTCCAGCAATCTTTGTTTTATGGCTGTTTTTTCCCTGGCTAACAGGTTCCGCCCACCCCCCACCTGTAGCAGCTGCTGGAAGGTCTTCAGGAACTCCTCGGGGCCCGAAGGTTGGCAATGTCTACGACTCTCGAGGGTTCATGCTGCTTTATGTTATAAACACGTATCTCGTAAACACAGAGAGAGAGAGAATGATATGGTGGATACATTAAACATGCTTAGTAAGGCTTTCCAACTTGATCAGTACATGCTTAGAAGCTGAGCATCATGAAGCGGCTATTATTGAGCTAATCGTCGTATGAAGTGAACATGCACCTCAAGAGTGATATATCTCTCCCTCCTGATAAATCACACGACGTCATGTGTTCTGAAAGGGGCTGATCCCTTCAGCCTCAAAGGACTTGAATCAGTCCTCTTGTTCAGCATTGTCAATCTCAGCGTGGTAGGCCAAGGTGATCCTGTCCTGTTTCCCACCACAGACTTGCGCAAGGGAGGCGAAAGCACGGTCAAAGGTGAAGTCAAAGGACAGAAGTCTTTGTTGAAGCTGCTTTCTTTAAATGCAATGCATTCTTCCAAAGAAGTTCAGCAGTCCTTGAGGCGGCCGACAGCCACAAACGGCAGTTCAGCTCTTCCCCCGCTCTGCGGCATGGTGTGGAACGCCCAGGGCCAGCTCTTGTATGACACCCCCTTGGAATGCCAGTCCGTGTGTAGTTCCGTCTGCAGGTGTATTGAGTGTCTGTGTGCGGATCATGTTTGCCATAGCCCAAGGGGCTTGATTGCAACATATGTTGTGGTTGTAGTCGGTACTGTCTTGAAGTTTGATGTAAACCGTAGACCTCTTAGTGCAAGCTGGGAGATCAACCAGCCTACAGCTTCGAGTTCAACTACGCTTGATCCCAGCAAAAGAAACCCCTAGCGATGCAGGGCCAGGAAACTGCTGTGAGTGAAACTTTCGCGCAACTATTCACTACTTATGGCACAGCTTGTGGATTTCAGGGGTCCAGTAAATGTAATGCGTCAACTGGATGACACAGCGGGGGGTGTAGCTTCTGGACACACCCATTCACTGAGTCAGTGAGTGTCCACCGCAAGGTCCGCCAGTGTTGAACTCAAGAACCTTCTGCAGATTTCTTGTGCGTTGTAGATGTTTCCAAGAAGCTCTTTGGCTTTTCCGGGTTCAAGCAGCTTTGAACATAGATCTACGACGTGAGCGAACCCACCTTTGGATGCAGAAAGAGTTTCATTCAATGCATGTGGGATTCAATCCATTTAATCCGAACATCTCAAACAGGGGCCCATCCTGTGTCTGATCCACAAGCCAACTCCAGCTCAACTTCGCTTTTTGGCCACACGTCAGATGTCACAACTCATGGAGGTTCGCCGATTTGCTTGAAAAGGACGACCTGGGGAAGTATTGGATGGTGTTGAGTGATTCGGATGAAGGGTTCTGGATGGTTCTGTGGTGTTCACTGCATGCGTGTTTGGTATTCATTCTGTGTCATTCTCCCGCCAATGCCACATCTGTCACCTTTGGAATTCAACAATATCTTCAATTCAGGCTGAAGCAAAGGAGGTTCATGAACCAACAAAAGATAACTTGCAGCATTCTTGCAGCTTCGATCTTGATGCGGCGCGTTCATTCTTTTTTGCGACCATGTCGGTCAACGCTCCTGCATGATGCCTGCATGGGATTGATGCAACATTTAGGCTGAGGTTCGACTCCGGCGAAGAGACTGTACAATTTCGCTGGGCCAATTGGATTCATACGGACCTCAGGATGTTTACATATGATTTCCACACATGGTCCTCATGTCCCAATGAATTGCATGTACTTCTTGCCAGCCCCTTCTAGGGCATGAAGAAGGCCATGACTGTGCAATCTAGGTTGTCAAGTGCTTCGCGCTCCCAACGGCATCCCTCACCCAGTGGCAACTTGGTGTGGGGATGCATTGGTGCCACCCTGGAGTATTTGTGCGTTCTGCCACGGCCTTCGTAAATCTCGATGCTGCCTTCACCCCAACCAGCTGGCCGCCCATTCCGGAACCGTTCCCTTGGATGAACAAATGTGCTTTTCAACACAAGGCCGTCTCACAAGCATTCTATTCAGTCTTCACAGCACGCAACAGCATCAAAGAGTAATATTGTAGAGTCTGTGAGTCAATACCAAGTGGTGGAGAACTCTTGCTGAGCTAGCACATGTATGATGGACTGGAGTAAATACAGCATCAACATACCCCGTTTGAACCGATCAAATGCATATCTGCATATCCTTGCAAATGCCAGGCTCCGCTTGAGGCCGTAGTGCTCCGCCACGCGGTCCGACACTTCGGAGGAGCCAGCGCCATAGTCATCCACCCAAGACTCGGTGGTGCGTCGTAGGGCAGTGGACATCCAAATGGTTTTGGGGGTCTCCATGTTTGGACCTTGATCCATCTTTCCATGCTGCTGGAGCTGGAATTGATGTTTTTTTTCAAAGAAAGCATGTTGGTGGTTGTTCCCATGACACACGTTCAGTCGTTGAATTGATGTCCCTTTGAAATCTGAAGAATCACTGACATGAGATCAAATGAGAAGGGACAACCCTGGAAGCAAATAGAAGCCGAGAAACATCGTCGTAGATATTTGACACCACGCAACAAATAACGGCTCCTGCTTCAATTTTCTCCTTGACCACTCGGAGCCAACGACAGCACCAGCCTTGGCGAGACTAGGTGACATGAGCAAAGCTAGTAACAGCTAGCTTTAATATTATGCGAATCGACGAACACTTGCGAAGAGTCTCCAAAAGAAACGAAAACACAAATCAACTGATACTCGATATTACTCGATCCATTCGACACATGAACATGCCATCAAAACCCAAAGGCCCTTTGTTTGGGACACAAAGCAAGCGGCACGGGTGCTGTGAGCCAACTTCTGGTGTCAGCCTCTCGATGCGAGATTCCACCATGGCCTCCCACATCGGGTCGCGCCCCTCTGGCGGCGGCACGGGCACCATGTCGCGACCGCAGTCCGTGGAGGGATGGCGCCAGTGGCCGGCGGCAAAGCCCCAAACGTGTACTTTGTCGAACCATACTGTCGCGGATCCTGAGTGAGAGGTGAGAAGGGAGGAATCTGGATCCTGAGGAAAAGGATAAACTATTGTAGCCTATAGTTATTGTAACCATTGTATTAACGAAATGCGCCAAAGCTGGACTTCCGTGAACCTAAGGTGGTTGGTTCAACTTGACAGTGGCAGTGGTGAAGGGCCCAAGCTCCCAACGAGCTCCACACAGGTACAGGGTATTGAAAGAAGCTGGAGGTAGCCAGGCTGGCCGCTTGGACGCACCAGATTACCTTTTGCCATGCTCTGGCATGTGATACATGTGATACATAGTATAGAGCTGGCTAAGCTTCGACCATACCTTTCAAACCCCCTGGTTCCAAACACACACACATACTTATGCAACGCTTTTTTTAAAGCAGTCAGTAGATTGAGGGAGCGGTTGAAGACTTCCCTTGGTTCTTGAAAGCCATGTTTTGCCAAGCCTTCGCTTTGGCAAGTACATAGCACCACTGTGAACCGTTTTCTCTTCTAAAATGTATTCTAAGCGGGCGTCCCAAAAAAAAACCAGGGCTATAGGCTTGAAGGTATTCATTATGAAACAAACCATCTCTGTCAAGCCACAAACAAGAAACAAGGCACTCTATCAGGGATCCATAATGGAAAGTGGAAGAACTTTTCTATAGTTTGCGTGTTCTTCTTGATATGTCCATCCAAGCACACATAATCCTTGAACCGAAGAACCCTTACGGTTTCAATAAACGACGTATCAAACTGCTGGATCACATAAAACTACACAAACACTAGGGCCTCCAAACATCAAGATATGTCCAAGTTTGTTCCTTATCAGATCTTTTCAGGGTGTGAAGGGTCCAAGAAAACTTCACACTGAAATCATCACATGTCGTTGATCCGTTTGACCCCACAGAGTGGGGCCGCGCCTTTCTTCCGACCCAGCCGTTGTTGGCCCATAAAGCCTTAGGGCCCTCCTAAAAGCATCGTCTTGCCCAGGCACCGCCAGAAGTTTCGTTCAATTTCTTCATGACTTCCTCGTAGGCCTGACCGCCCGGAGCTGAAGCACCTGTGGCCAGGAAGGCCTCCCGCATGTTGTGGAAGCAGTCAAAGCTGTGGTAGTAGGTGAAGACCAAACCGGTTCCAGCTAAAGCCTTTAAATGCTCCGAAAGCTCTTTGTCCTGCTTGAGCGCCTCCGAAGACAGCTTCAAGAGCCAGGGGGCCCTGGTGGCCGCCACTGCTTTGATGAGGAACTCCCGGTTGTTCCGGAGGATCCATGGGGCGTGCTGCATCTCCGTGCCATCGCGCAGCACCCGTTGCAGCCAGGCAGCCTGGACCTTTAGGCGGATCTATGGATCGGACACCGAGGCTGGGTGGGGTGGTGGGGTGGTGGTGGTGGGTAATTGATGGTGGTTGACTGATTTGACATGGTTGATCTTTAAGGTCTCTGGTCTCTGACATGTTTGTTCAAAGCCACTATAGTTTCTTTTGCGACGCATGAATTGAGATTTATAAAATGTCACGTAAATGGTTTCTCAAGGAAGGTAGTACAAATACAAATATCAATCATGCAGCGGTAACCTTTGACGGATTTCACTGTAAAATTCCAATCGTTGGATTAGACCAAAAACAAAAAGATCTGGCTTTCAGATCTTTCAGAACCACTACTCCGGCAAACCCAGTTGCTTTCTTCCAAACCACCCTCTGGACATGAAGAGGTCATGTATGTTTGTTCCAGCAGAACAAAACAAGTCAGATCACTAACTTCATGGAAGTGCAGGATGATCCAATCTGTCGCTTAAGCACTTGGCACCTGAATTGAGGAACATCCTAGTGTTGGATCCTCTCATGGACCATTGAACCCTGGGAGTGAGAACATTGAAATCACTCAAAGCAAGTAATCATATAATCATTAATCATTAAACAAAGCAACAATTCTTGTTATGACGACTTGTCCTCCCCTTTGTGCCCCTTGGTGGCTTTCCTGTGCCCTTTGAGTTCCGTCGAATCTTGCCCCTCACAACCTCACTACCCCACCATGCTACTTCAGTCGCACCCAGTCTTGCAGCCACAAAGCCAGTTCCTTGTCAGTTTTCAAAGTGGCGGCAGCAAACTGCAGGGCTTTGCCGTTCTGCTGCACTGCCGCCATAACCTCCGTCGTCTGCCGTCGTTGGGGACGCAAGACAAGGCCGTGGGAGTTGGTGACTCGGAATTCGCCGTTGGAGCGTGCACCGTTGGGAGAGGAGGTTGCAAAACGACGGGGGGGCATGGGCATCATGTATAATAGAAGTTCTGGGAGATGTCGGTGAAGAATGCTTTCCACATCACGGTTTGCGGAACTTTCCTTTTTGAAAAGGACACCACTGGGACACCTGCAAATACATACTACACACTGACCTCGCTGACCTGAATGAGTCAAGCTAGCTTTGTTAAATTAGAGCGATCAGCAGTCTCATATGAGACCCGTCGTGGTATCACCCACCATGGAATCAATATCAATCCATGTAATTATAGCATGGCGCGATTTCTTGGGATACACAAAGGAGTATGTGGTGTGCGGGTGTGCCAAAATAAAACACAAAATCAGGGCCCTTTATAGTTGCAGCCACGAGGCCACCTCCTTCTCCGCGCTGAATGCAGCTGCAGCGTACTGCAAGGCTTCTCCGTTCTGCTGTACCGCTGCCATCACCTCGGCTGCGCACAACCGAACAACCGCTCATACTCGGCAGGTGATTCGAGAGGCAAAGGGGATGAGAGGGTTTGGGCGAAGTTCTAGGAGTGGTGGTGACTCAGGACATGCAATTGTTCGAAGACCCGTGCACTCTGCACGAACCGAAGAGCGTTGTTGGAACCTCCAAAAACCATCTGAAAGTGTGTTTGCCCTTGGAAACAAGTTGGGAGTTCCACGCTAGTTCCAAGGTGTATGGGCCAAACAGATCTACAATCTGTCTATATATAGAGCATACAGTACATGACCAATACTTTCCATCATCAACGACTGGCGGAACTCAAGCTTTGCACAGTGGGTGTTTGGGATGCCTTTCTGACATGGAAACGAAGCACTCATGCCGTCCACATGCCGTCACTGCTCATTGCATCGCTTGGAGGCCAAAGTATCTTGGCAGATCGATCGCTCCAAAGATGTCCGATGGATATGCAATGGAGGAAACTGCAATGTGATGTGTTTTACGGCCACTTCGGTCAAAAACAAAGAATGCATCCTGTAATTGACCGTAAAACGCAACCAAAGAAGATCCACATTCTTGAGAACATATACTCAAGCTAGCAACAATCATTGAGTGATAGGCTGGTGCTGGAATAGAGACAAATTAGAGCCCCAAATAACAGAACAAAATCTAGATAAACGTAGTGGCACGCAAAAACACGGCTCGATGGACACAATATGGGGACAGCAACATGTGACGACATGGAATGACCATGATGTCATATCTTGACTACTTTTTCTTCCCTTGTGCATGTTGGATGCTAGGCATCAAAGAATGGGGCTCTACGGGCTTGCAGCATGTTGCAGCCACGAGGCCACCTCCTTCTCCGCCTTGAATGCAGCTGCAGCGTACTGCAACGCTTCTCCGTTCTGCTGTACCGCTGCCATCACCTCGGCTGCGCCCAATCGAACAACCGCTCATACTCGGCAGGTGATTCGAGAGGCGGAGATGTGCGACGAACACTAGGTCCCACCGATCGGGCTAAGTCCACAAGGAACGATGGACTCTTCTCTCCACACTTGGATAAAAAAGGATAAAAGGTCAACGTTTGCATGCAAAAAATCCAACGCATGCAGCTGCGAGGCCACTTCCTGGTCACTTTGCAAAGCCTCCGCAGCGTGTTGCAAAGCAGAACCGCTGTGCTGGACTGCCACAAGGACCTCGGCGAGTTTCATTCTCCCGTTTGCCTCCTTTATCCAGCCCAAAGACACCAAAAGAATAGTCGCTGCCAAAACAAAGTGGTTGCAAGTCTTGTGTTGTCAGCTTCGCAAGTCAAATTGCAAAGCCACCATGTGCCATTGAGTATCATTGTATTGTGTGGTATCCAATATCCTCACCGCTAAGACCTGTTTTTGAGTTGAACGTGTGCAAGTCTGGCAAACCGACTCTACCAGGCTTGGCAGCCAGGAGGCAACATCTTTGTTTTGCTTCAAGGCATCCGCGGCAAACTCCAACGCTTTTGGCTTCAGTTGCACGACAGTCTTCACGAAAGAAATGTCCTTCTTGAGCTCTTCGGAGGCGAAGGTGAAGGCCCGTGGGTCCTTTTCTACCGCGGCCGTGACGACGTCCTTGTTCTTCTTCAACTCCTCTGAAGCGTGCTGCAGGGCCAGGCGATGCTCCTCCACCGCAGCCAGGACGACGTCTTTGTCGTTCTTCAAATGCTCAGGGGCCTTCTGCAAGTTCTGCCCATTGCGCTTGACTTCTGTGAGCCACTTCTGCTTCTCCGCTGGAAGCTCCATCTGGGCAAAGTCGAAGTTGACCTTTCAAGTGCCAAGAAGTCCGGAGCTGTTTTGATGCCTTTTTGGTAGTGACGATGTCAAGGCGACATTTGGGGGAAAACAAGCCATCAGTGATCCTCTCTATCAAACTCAATGGACTTCTGGACTCGAAGTTGACCAATGAAACTCCCTCTGTTGTTATATTAATTCGTGTCCACACGCTAACTGATCGCCCCTGTGATGTTCAAACATGTGTCCAAACTGCATCAAACTGCATCAAGCTGCAAAGCCCTGAAACCACTCAAAAGCTGAGTGAAACTGGGGCCTACAACAAACAAGACAATTCGGTGCCATTGAGCGACCAAAAGAGGACCACTTCCGAACTCGCAGCACGAACTCCGAATCCGTACAACTTGTATACAGCAAGAGACACGACCCTGGCCTTGTGGCTTTCTCTCGTGTTCTCGGCGACGTCAGCCCTTTTCGTCAGAGCCTCATCTCAAAAAGAGTACCGAAACAAGACAAGGATCCGTTTGGAAAGCTCCCTGCAACAATCATGGAAGTGGACGTCGGACAACCCCCTCTTGGTAGAGGAAGATCGTCTTTCCAAGGGGCCAGAACGTCCACTTAGATGATTATTGGAGGGGGAGTGAGTAGCATCTCAACACTCCACTGAAGGCGGTTTGATGGACATGTGTGTTTTTCCCCCAGAAGGTCCTTTTGCACGGGAGAGTGACAGAAGTCCAGGAAACGACCGGAAAATAAAAGAGGGTTGCCGGGTCTTGGGGTGCTTCCTACATCACTCCAACACATCCAAAATCTTACGTAAGCATAAAAGGCAAAACAAACCATCCACACCTTTTGAAGGATTACAAGGATCTATTACAGTCTGGTAGGATACATCGGGCAGTGTCTATATCGCAATATCGCAAATCTTGGTCTCCGCCCCCGTTCTAAAGAACAGAAGGACCGGCCGCACGCCTCCTCGCTTTCCTGAACCTTCCTGGTATGCTCTTCAGCCCTTCTCGCACAGGCCTTGACTTCTACAGACAGTGCCCAACAACGAAAGATGAGCCACTACTCAATGAGCTAATGAATCTAATCTTCGTTCGAACCCCCCTGCTACTAACTGCCAGGACCTTGTACGGTGTAGGTATAATGAAGCCTTGGTTGCACATTCCCTGTTAATCTTCATTCAAAACTTCATACTCTACCAGCATATAATCTGCACTGGTGAATCATGCAAAACATATACATATTGTATAGTCATTTGTTTCAGGACTTCGGTGGCCTCATCTGTGGCCTCTTTTTCAGCATCTCTTAACCTTGCCTGTCAGTGAAAGACCGGACGAGGGAGAGGAGCACAAGCTCTTCTGCAGGGCAAAAAGCTTGTGAGTGGAAATCAGTAAGCCAAATGCATCATTTGACCTTGGGACCTCTACTGCCAAGCGCAATGTCCTCGAAACGCGAAAGAATGAAGCCGGGATAGTTGACCCGTGACTCTGTGGAATATTTAATTACCCTTCCTGCAACAAGCATGGAAGTGGACGATGGGCTTCCTTTACCTAAAGAAGGTGGTCCACTTCCATGTTCGTTCCGGGAGTGTTTTTCCCAATTCGGGGGGAGACCCCCGATCGCCCCTGGTGACGGGGCGACTGGTCGAAGACTCCCGAACCGAACCCGCGGGGTCAGGACGCCGGGGGTCGGTCGACCGGGCGGCGTTTCGCGGCCTAGCCTTCTGCTGCGCCTGCTGCGCTTCTCGGAGTTCGTTCTTCAGAAGTTCCAGTTGCGCCTGTGGACGGACTTCTGGTTCCGGAGTTCAACGTGAAGGGTCCGCAGAGAAACTGTCACCAGAAGAGGCAACATTCCAGGGACAATTGAAGCAGCAACCAACATTGGACGACAACAAACATAGAAGCTGTTTGAAGAGGAAAACAATAACACAGGGAGGATAATGTCCCCATGCAACGGAAGGTGAGAAGACTTGCCTTCCAAACATATCGTCAGTGTAAGGCAATGTCAGGACCATACATTGCCATCCCTTGTCACGCCTGCCCATCAGCCCGTCAAGACTCTGGCTCACGTGGCTTAAGTCTAGCAGTTTCAGGTGGTACCAGCACAAAACTCTGATAGCATCTACTTGTCGCTGGTGAACATTCCACAAGAAGCCCAGCTCAAAAGCACCAGATCCACCGCTGAAGCACCGGGCGCTGAAGCAGCGACCCTCTGACCGGTTGGCCCAATGAAAAGCTGCCTGTGAAGCTGCCTCCTTGGTTTTGGCCTGAAAAGGGACACCAAACGAAGGCACTCTTGGAGTGACAAGAAGAGCTATGTCCAACCTTTAGAAGAAGAAAGGGGTCGAATACTCGTTACCTTAGAGCTATTGGACTATAGCTACTGTTTCTTTTCTCACCACCAGGGGTATTTGATCAACCAACGAAAAGAGTAAAAGGCTATCCATGGTGACAACCATGATAAGAATACAAACTTGATGCACTTCGCAGCTGAATGAAAAAACCTACTGGATGAATTTGAGTTTCTCGGATTCGGATCTGTTCTGCGGAGGATGAGGATGCTGATCTGGCCTCTTGTTCTCTATCTTCCAACTGCTTCTTCAGCTGCTCCTTCTCTGCCTGTAAAGGAGCAAGCAACCCGACTACTGCTACATGAGAAGCTGGAATCGCACATGACAGCGTCAAATATCACATACACAGGGAAACACACATCGGTTTCACGCATACGAGCATATAAAATAACATGTTTTTTCTGGCCACGGAAGTGAGTAGTTCGGCCAAAAGAGTTCTACAAACATGTCTAATCCAGGTAGCTTGCGATGCAGTGCAAGCTTGACCCAGTTTTTCAAGGATCCGGCATATAATTGTATAATGAACCATGCTAGACAATCCTGAAAACATGTACCAAAAGTATGCCGACAACACCTTCCTGTTGTGGCAGTTTAACAATGCATAAGCACAAGAACGAGGTGCCCTGATAATCCGGTATAGATGTTGGGAGGGTTTCCGGCAGTCTAGCAGTCTATCTCCAGCGTGGCCAAGTGCAACTTCCAGTTGACAACTCCTACCAAGTCCTGATGTCCATCCAAGGTCCAATTAGAACTATTCGGCAAACAACTTGATGTCTTGATTTGTGTGACCGACATTTGAGCCAGCAACCAAACGAAAGCTGCCCAAACACTCGCCTGCAGTGCGTGCTCAGTCTTTTCCGTGGCTTGCTCTTTCTTTTCAGCCTGACAAACATATGATAAGTCCACCCTCTCCCTGTCCCAGTCACCTGCAAGTTCGCAATCCGGATGCTGGTATGATAAGAAAACCATGCAGGGCCTGACGGAGCTCTTGCTGCAGTTTCTCAAGCTTCACCTTTCTCAGACTAATCAATGAGCATGCAGTAGCCGCAACGGAGCTCATTGTAAAACTCAAGCAACTCATCTTAAGAATTTCACCCCCTGGTTGATACTGACGGTTGGGGTTTGTTTGCACCATCACGTTCATCAAAAAGAAGCAAACGCCTCCAACGTCGACGCCAACTTCATCTTCTCTGCTGCCTTGACAGTGAGCCACCAAAACCGACGACATGAGGAGACCTTGTAAGTTATGTAAGTACCCGCTGGAACAATTGATAGCCAGGACCAAGTTGAATTTGCTCCCACCGCTTGCGGGGTACGACATGGTCGACTAGTGCGGCTGGTGCTATTCTGAAGCTGGCAACTGGAGAGACAGCCATAATTTGTCTTCCTCCCTGATAGTCTTCCATCTTGATCATTTAGTTAAAGGACTGGACTTTTGCTACTGGACAAGTATCATCAAAGACGCTAGCAATTCAAGGACTCTACACTCTCATAGTGCGGAGGCTGCAGACGCTTGGTGCCTGCAAAAGTAATGGTGTAATTGCGGTATGGGGCACAGCCCTCTGCCCA